AAGCCCGTCCTGAAGCCCAGCAAGCCCCTCATTCTAGCTAACCGTATCGGGGAGCGGCGCCGGGACAGGGGCGGTGAGCAACCGCAGCCACGGAGGCTCCAGAGCGGAGGCCGAGGGGTGCGGGGGGCGGCTGGATGGGAGGGCTGGAAGGTAAGGGTCTCCTTAGGGCTGAGTCTCCCCGCTCCCCCTCCGCTGTGACCCTGCAGAGGCGACCTGTATCACAGAGATGTCGGTGATGATGGCTTGCTGGAAGCAGAATGAGTTCCGCGACGAAGCGTGCAGGAAAGAGATCCAGGACTTCTTCGATTGTGCTTCGAAGGCCGAGGTGACAGAAGGCTCCTGGAGTGCCCTCTCTAGAGGATAATGGGGTGGGGCGGGGTGGAGGGGGGTTGGGGAGCGGGAGACACAACTGCCTCTTGCTAGGTGGTAAGAAAGCCCCTCTCATTCTAAAAGGGGAGGAAAGGTTTGGGAGAAATTTCACCCGCGCCAAAGTGGGGAAGGTCAGGTTTTGAAGGCATTGAGATCTTGAGCTTTAACCAGACGTAAAAAGAAGTTAAATGTTAATACGCACAGATTTCTGTGAGTGTCCAATGAAGGAATGAATGGGAAACCAATTTGCAAAATTTAAATTGCTGCTCAAATAGACATTCTCTGAAATAGAACGAAAGATGGTGGGCAGATGGCTTGGTTTCCAGCCTAGGCTTAGTTGCTAGCTGGCATGGTCGCTTCAGACCCTGCCGTCATTTGTCGGTCCGTGTCCCTTTTGTTGAAAGGGGACTGAGAAGATGACACAGCTCTCCAGGGTGGTTAATATCTTCATGTGTTTTGGGGCTTTGTGAGAACCATTGGCCGAGGTCAGAACACAGTTGAGAGCTGTCATTTCTGTTTTTGTTTTGTGTTTTCAGGCAGCCCGAAAGATGAGATCAATCCAGGGAGAGTATGGGAATTTACCCCCCCAGAAAGTGAATATGTTGTTACAGAGGTTTCCTAACAAGTCACATCTCAGCTGAAAATGGAGAAGCATTTTCAATGACTGGACTGTAGCTTCTGAGAATATACAGAGGCGTTTTAGAGACATTTGCACTGCCGTGCTCTATTTGAAGGGTAAAAGGTGGCGAAACACTTTTTTCACCCTTTGGAATTAATGTCTGGGTGGAAGTTATGCTTTATCTTGAAATAAACTCCTCTGAAGAGAACTTGGCCTTTGTTATGGATTAGCTACTCCCTCCATACTTGAATCCTGTATCCTCCCCTCTGGAAGTTCTTTGCTCTCTGATTTGCCTCAGGAACAGGACAAAAACCTTTGTCTTATCCTGCATTTGAATTCCTTTACACCATTTAGTGCCCTTGCCTTTGGATGCAGTAAGGGTGTTGAAGTCTGCCTACAATACAGTTCTTTGCCATCATCTGTAAATATTTAGTGACTACCTACTTTGTGCATAGCCCCTGCAAGGTATTCCCAGGATATCAGAACTTCACAAACTAGTGACCCAAGGTACTGTATTTGATTTGGTCCACATAGTTAAACATTTGTTTTTGTATTAGCTGATCAAATTTTTAAAAATATCTTTTTTATTGATTTTTTACAGAAAGGAAGGGAGAGGGATAGAAAGTTAGAAACATCGATGAGAGAGAAACATCAATCAGCTGCCTCCTGCACACCCCCTACTGGGGATGTGCCCGCAACCAAGGCACATGCCACCGACCGGAATTGAACCTGGGACCCTTCATTCCAAAGGCCGACACTCTATCCACTGAGCCAAACCATGCGATTCTTTGGCATCACATTTTAAAATAGGAAAAATGTGCCATGGTTGGTGTGGCTTAGTTGGTTGGGTGTCGTCCTGTGCACCAAAAGGTTCCTCGTCAGGGCACAAGCAGGGGTTGTGGGCTCCATCCCCAGTAAGGGCTGCAGGAGGCGGCGATGGGTTACCTTGTCCCACTGATGTTTCTCTTTTCTCCCTATTCTTTAAAAATATATAAAAATGTAATGTCATAGAAGTAAATTTTTTAGCTTTTCTTTAAAAAAAGAAAAGATCTGGTAACCCTAGTTTCTCATTACCACATGGCAATAATCAATTATCGTTCATCTCCATTTTCTAGGGACCTGTCCACTAGACTCCTCTAAATGGTGAAACTGTGACTGAATTGGCACTTTTGTGTGTCATCTGTCTATGTCTCATTAAGTTACCTAGTTGCTGAAAGCATCTTTGTGACACCCCACCCCCGATATTAGAAACAACTGTATAGCATTTTATGTATACTCTGCCCTTTCTGTCATAACTGAGGTAACCTTTTCTTTGTACCTTCCAGCATTATTACATGGACAAAAGGATCAGTGGGGTTTTTAAAGCTCCAGTGGGGTAATTATTATAAAGGAGTCTTGCTTGCCTCTCTGTTCCCCCAGAGCTACCTCTTCCTATAGTTCTCATATCAGATAGGTAGAGCACCTAGCAATTGTCTCGTTCTGCCAGCGGAGGCTTTTAGCAATAGGAAGAAGTTCAGTGGTTAGGCACTTTAGACTAGACCCGTGGTGGGCAAACTGCGGCTCATGAGCCACATGCGATTCTTTGGCCCCTTGAGTGTGGGGGCCACAAAATACCACGTGCGGGCGCGCATGTACAGTGCGATTGAATCTTTGTGGCCCATGCACAGAAGTTGGTATTTTGTGGAAGAGCCACACTCAAGGGGCCAAAGAGCCGCACGTGGCTCGCGAGCCGCAGTTTGCCGACCACTGGACTAGACTTAGGAGTTCTTAACCTAGAATCAATAGATGCCCAATAAGATTTCTGTGAACATGGACAGGAAAACAATTTTATCTTTGATCACAACTGATACAGCATTTCAGTGAAGAGAGTTGGAAAAAAAACCACAGTGTCATTAGCAATACCATATGAAATCAATATTCAAATCATATTATAGTTTGTTACAGATATCTCAGTATCATGTTCATCACTAGCTTCAAAATTATGGTAGCTGCTGGATCTTATTTAATATGCAAATAAATATTACTGTGTTACAAATTTTATTAGTATATTGATAATTGTATTTCAACAATTGATTTCCTTTATAATTCTTGTACTTTTGTGCATTTATAAACAATCTGAGAAGGGTTCAGGGGCTTCATCAGGTTGCTAAAGGGTCCGGGGCACACAAAAAGCTTAAGAACCCCTAGACTCAACGGTCCACTGACAAAAAGTACAACCATTTCCTGAAATCAAACGCCTTCTTTTCCTGGTGCTTCTTAGAGCCTATAAAGTCTTCTGGAATACAGGCTTCTGGACTACAATTCCCAGAAGGCGAAGCGGCCCCAGGGCCCTATCCGGAGTTAGGACAATAACTACCCAATGGTGCTGTGCTGTTTGACAGCCTACGATTCCCGGCGTGCTTGGCGAATGCTTATGCCTTGGGGACATGATGGACGCCGAGTTATTGCTGGGATCTGTAGTCGTTTTGTTTACCTGTAGGGGTTGGCTTCCTTTTGTTGTATCTGTGGGTGGGCTTCAGGATAAAAGCAGGAAATGCAGCAATTAAACACACAGGGCCCCAACATCTGCCCGTGCTCGGTCCGGTCCACGGGCGCGCGAGGGCGGAAGTGGTGGTGGCCGGCGCGGCCGGAAGTTCAGATCAGCTGATGGGGGAGGCGGTGCCGCAGCCACCGAGGG